TCAGTGCACTAATGAGACCACCCTTCAAGCCCTTAGCAGAGTGCTCTCTCCTGCACTTATCCATGAAATTCTCTCATCACAGGGCTGTTATGTCAGCTAGAAGAGTAGGGAAATTCTGAGCCCTTATGGCAGATCGATTTTACACTGTTTTTTATTGGGACGAAGTGGGACATCCTCTTTTTTCCCCAACATCTCCTCAGACTGCCACATTAATCAGGACATACAATTGCCCATCTTCTAAACTGCACAACTTTAGATAAGATGCTAGCCTACACACTTTGGATGTCAGGAGGTCACTAGCTTTCCGTCTAGAACTAGACCCTTCAGAGCCTCTTCTAGACTTTTTGTCTCCTTCGCAGAAAGAATGAAGGGAGCCCCTATTTCTGCCCAAAGACTACCCAAATGGGTCTTAAGATGTATTTTATCCTACTGTGAACTCTCTACTATGCATCCTTCCTCCAGGCGGACTGCCCATTCCACCATAACCCTAGTCAACCTCTATTGCTTTGCTCAAGAATGTCCTCATCAAAGACATTTGTAAATTTGCCACCTGATCATCTGTTCACACCTTTTCCCAGCACTACATCATAGGTATGCTTCCAGATCTGATGCAGCATTTTGGATGGCTGTTGTCCAATCTGTACTAGATAGAACTCCTCAGCACCCACCCTCTCAGTTTAGGCACTGCTCAGAAGTTAGGTGAAGTGAAGCACCCATAGGGACAATTACTCAAAGAAAGAGGTTGGTTACATGTAAAGTAACTTGTGTTTATCGACATACTTTCTTCCTATGGGTGCTCTACTACCCATTCTCCATCCCCTCTACTTCAAAGACCTGTCATTAGGCTGGATTTCACAATGGAGTGGGAACTATTTTAAAGCCCTCAGCAGAAATAGAAAATAATTGGTTGGAGAGAGGATTTAAACAAGGAAAGATAAATTGTGCAGTCTATAACAAGAAGACTAAGTATGATAGAACGATCCATAGGATTAAAGCCATGCTAAGAGCAAGTTGAACGAGATGAGAGACCTGTCATCATAGGCAAGGAGTAAGTTATTTACTCTTTTAGCCTGTTCATCGTTAAAAAGAGATTTGCTAAGGGACAGAAAACCTAAATTGACTGAGCTTTAGTTAACTGTTCCTCTTTCCTGCCACACTAAGAGTGTGGTGTATGCAACGGTGTCTTTTAATTGCTAGAAGAAACCAGTTCTTTTTCTTCACTGAAAAAGTCTTAAATAACATTTGATCAGGACTTCTCTGCAGATGAAGGTTTGGGTGCTGATTAAACTAGATGGGATTTTCCGTATTGTTTTATATACATAAAATTATAATTTTAATTGTGCTTGTGGGATTTTGTTTATTATTATATGTGATGAATACCTGAAAATATTATTCACATTTTACTCATCACCCATGCAAGTGCTTAAAATACCTTTTTAAAAACAAATTTTCTGTTTGTTTTTTAACCTGAGAAATATCAGAAATGTCAACTCTGGTTACATTGATTTTGGTAGCTGTCTTATATTGAAGAGAGGGTGTCCAGATAATGTATATTATTAGTTTCTGCACCTAAATTGGAAGGTTTGTGGTGTTGAATCTGTACCAAAGATTTCCTCCGCCTCCCCAAAAAATGTTAAGTAGTCATTGCAGTGAAATAGTTAACAAAAATAAGACAGTTTTAAACCGTTTTTAAACTAAAAATCCCTTTTCTCAGTTGTACCAGTTTCACTCCTTTGCCTCTGATAATGTTTTCACTAGATCTTTAATAACTATAGAGTTTCCTAGTCTAGACAGAACCTAAATTTCTGACAAGTTGAACATTTTAAAAATGTCTCGTATGTTAAAAATATGTAGGTTCCTGTATAACAATAGGAAGTTATGCTCTGAAAGAGGCTCAGTCACTGAGGGACTGAGATTCCAGAACCCTTTGTATTATCTTAAACTGGTAGAGCTTGATGTGGGTGGGATTTATTTCTCTTTCCCTAGTCCCAGATCTGTCTATTATGTTTAGAATTAACACATGAGTGTCAGATTTATGAACCCCTAAAAATGTGTTTAATATTATACTTCCATGTTATTTCTAATGGACTAGAATTTAATATTGTCTGTTCCATCTACAAGTGACCAAAATCCTGTATAATTATCTCACCTCCCCAGTGTAATAATAGAGTTTCCAAATTTGTTGTGCTAGCAAGCCCTCCTAGGACCCCATGTGACTATAGTTCTCACTGAAGATATCTTGTATCTCCTAAAATGTTTTCTGTGAGAATTGACCCTGATAGTTCCTTTAATGGGATCTCATCTGCTATACTCAATATTGTATTTAAATTGTCTCTGACATTTATTCATTGGCTAAAAAAATATTTGATGTATTTTTCTGAATAAATATAAAATCAGCAGCTGCTGACAGCAGTGATATAAAAGTGGAAAGAGCAGGGAGGCAAGAGGTGAAGAATGGCATTGTATCATCATGCTGTGTGCATCCACCTCTGCATAATGGGTTTCTGTTTCCAGGATAGGTATCCTTTGTGATAGGTACATCTTTGGCAGTATCTTCATGGATGTTACAGCCTGCTCTTAATATAAAATCCTATTTTGAGAGCAGCAAATGGGTTATATTAAAATTAACATATATATTACAAAACAGATTATTTCATATGAAAGATGCTACATAAAATATCTCAAAACACTATAGAACGTGTGTTAAAACAGAGAATGCTGTATATGCTTTGGTACTTGGATTCATGCAGAAAGGAGAAATGTGAGGTAAAAAGATGGAGTAAATAAAAAGAGAAGAGCTGAAATGTAAAAGCAATTAGAGATACTAGAAGTACTACTTCAGGCTAGTTTCAGCAAGGGGAGAATGGAACCATGTGCTAATGTGGTAAGAGAAAAGTGAGGTGTGGTTAAAAATCAATCTTTGGCTAAAATGATCAAGAAGGTAATCAAGTAATAAAAGAGGGAATGGCTCAAAGGGAAAGTGAGTTCCATAAAGTGCAGCCCTATCTGTAGAGAAATATAGAAAGGTGTCTTAGATGGAAGTAGGAGACTGGGGAGGGAAGAGGAAGAAGTAGGTAGATATGAGGTCAGAGAGAACAAGTCCTGGTGAGTTTGGAAGCCCTAGAGTTTGATTTGAAATGGATTTGGGGGTGGTAGATGCAGTGAAAGTGGCAGAAATCATATTGCTGCAGGGAGAGAATAGTCTGACTGCAATACGTTTGGCCTCTTGAAGTTTAAAGAATGTAGGGCTTTAGGAAACCCATACAAAAGGGAATGTTAAGCACGTGCATGGGTGTGAGTAAAATGTGAATAATATTTTCAGGAGACCCTGGGTCCAACTAATGTCAAATTTTCATGATGTTATGGAGATAGTGATAGGCAGTGTTCTTTCTTCCTTAAACATCTTTCCTTTCCTTTTAAGTTCAAAGTCAAACTCAAGATTTCTGACCTTGGGGACAAAATAGAAACCTGAGCCATGAGCTACTCTTAAAATGTTGATCGGCATAGCTACATAACTTCTGCTGAGCACTGTAGTTACACTGACATTAAGTCCTGGCGTAGACGCAAATAGGTCAACAGAAGAATACTTCCATCAACCTAGCTATCGCTCCTCAGGGAGGTGGATTAACAGATTACAGTAACGGAAAAATTCCTTCCATTGCTGTAGGAACTGGAAGCACCTGCATTATGGCACTACAGCAACATAGCTGCTGCGCTGTAGCTGCGCGGTTGTAGCACCCATAGTTTAGACATGGCCTCAGTGAAACGGGAGTTAGTGATATGGAACAGTGGGCTTTTTGTGCAGGAGGATTCTCATTTTTAAAGTATTCAGCAGTGGAAAGAGGTAGAGTATCAAGGAGCTGATGGAACAGGCAACATGATCTTCTAACACATCATCTATTAATTCTTTTCAGAGGTAGAAGTTGTAGAATTTATTCAATGTCTGTGTATGATCCCTGGATTTTAATTTAGTCTCTTTATAAGGAACCTAGTTAGGTATAAAAGATTAATAAAGCTATACTGCTTGGATATTGGGGTGTATTGATCTTTCACAGAGGGATGGACAAAGATCAGTAAAAGCCTTCATTCGTTGTACTGTTCCTAGTACTCTGGGTTAATAATGGGCAGAGGGAATGTCATTTTACAAAGAAACCGATAGCAGAAACATGTAAATAATGTATGATAGAGTAGCAGGCAACATGCTATTAAATATTCTGATTCCCATATGTAGATTGCCAAAAATAAGTAACTTCCCACTAATGTGGCAGAGCTAAAAAGTGGGTTACATAGCGAACTGTTGCATACTTGTAATTACAACAACTGCAGCAGTTGGGGGCAACTTCAGTCTGAGAAATGATTTATTATTAAACTCTGTTCACAGAAATAAAATATAACAATAAGCCAGAGAAAGGAAAAAGACTGGATGTTCTGAAGTACTGCAAAATACAAAACAGACAAAGGGCTTCATAAATCTCTGGGGTGCAATATATGTATGTATCAAAAAACAAAGAAACCACCCCAAAAATGTGTCTTTCTTCGAATTTGACATAATGCATAATTTCATCAAACTTCAGGGGTGGAGTTCAGGGAAAGAAATGCACATTTGTTGTTCTAGAGGAAATGAAGTTGTTGTGTTGAGTGCCACAATGAGCTTGACAGACGCTGATCTACTCCAATGAAATGTTCATCAGCAAATTGAAGCCCCTCCACCAACCCTTATCACACACCCAAATCAATACATCCTTGAAATTATTTCATTTGTTTTTTTTAAATCTACTTGTAGGGTTGTGGGGAACAGGAGAACCCTTACTCTTGGGCTACTTCTCATTGTTTCAGTTACCTATAAAGATGATAAGGAATATGTGGAACATACAGTAATGAAAATGAGTTATGAAACGATGTTGCAGATTTGGACAAACATACTTCCATTACTCAGTTTTCTGGTTTGTCTGAATAATATAGATTAAACACAGGGTTTTGATTTTTATGTCCCTCTCTAGCTGAGATTGGGGATTTTGATGAAACCATAGATCGTGAACACTTAGCGAAGAACAAGTATATACCTCAACAAGAAACACTAGAAGACAAAATCATGGAATTTCACCGCAATCATATGTGAGTCCCAGCTTTTGTTCTTATTAACTTTCCTTTCCTTCAGTGTAATTCTAACTATGAACATATATTGAGCTTTAGCTATAAAAGATTTTCAGGCTTATGAGTTAGTTACTTTTTGCCCTTTCAAGTCAACGTACAAGATGTTTAAAGAGCATCAGTTGATTTTGATTTTCTTTCTAGCATTCAATTATTTCTTCAGCCTGTTTCACACAAAAGGATTCATTGTCAATTTTGTGCATGCAAATACAATTGTAAATGATGACCCTGATCCTTCAGATACTTGTATCAGTAGTCTCATTGAGGTCAAGGTCATTGAAGATATCTTTCACTGCCATAGATGGGTGACAAAAGGCTCAAAAGATAAATTTTGGAGGAAGCTTGTGAGCCAGGGGGGAATCAGAGAGGTTCTCTGAATAGAAATGGGAGGTTAGGTATCATATAACCTAGAGAAGAGATGAGTCTTAAAAGGGAGTTAAGAGACTGAGGATCAGTTAGGAGCAGAATGGCAGGAATTTCTGCTTCTAAGAACCATTCAAGACTCAAGCCATTGCATTTTGAACTAAGTGAAGTTTGGGGTTTATTGGTTGTGGTTTTTGTAAGAGCAGTTATGTTAATTGGGACTGTATGATTTAATATGAAGAATTTAACATTTATGGAGCCCAAAATGTATGTTCACTGCCCTCGATGTCTTTCATCTTACTCCTTTGCACATTTCCTTTATCCTACCCAATTATATAGTAGACAATATTCATATAATCTTTTATTTTCATGAGCCCAGTAAGCCATATAATTTACTGTTCTGTTGGAATAATGTATATAAAATTCTGTTAGAGTTAGTGGTTGAAGATACACACAGTCAACCAGCAAAAATGCTTTGTGTACACGACTGTTTTTGTGTCCTCCCACATTATTATAATTTGGGAGCTAGAATTCTTCATTGAAAGAGCATCTATATGTGTTCTTTTAAGGTGGTATGCCCATGGTAGGGCACCTCTTAGTTCATCAGCAGGGAACATCTGATTAAAATGAGACCATTTTAACTGTAATATATTCTTTTATTTTAGAAAATATAGCAATCCTATAATTGCTAAAACACGGATGCCCAGAACTCTGCTTCCCTGCTTAATTGTATTTTAGGTGAAAACTGGTCACAGTCCAATATCTCTATGCTTCTAAGGGAGGTTCTTTCATGTTCTAGCTCTACAGTGCAGACTTCTGCCAGCATACCTTTGTCAGTTAAGGGTATGAATAGCTGACCCACATAGCTTTGCCAGCAGAAGTCCCTAGTGTAGAGGCAGCTATACCGGCAAAGCTGTGCTTTTACTAGTATAGCTTGTTTCATTCAGGAGGAGTGGTTTCACTATAACAGTACAAAGCACACCGCTAGGAATGCTTTGCTGTCGTAGTATACCGGTATAGCTACATGGGTAAGGAGCTCCTAGTGGAGACATGGGCTCTGTTTGAGATAGACATTTTGTTTGTAAGTGACTGATTTTGGGTATCTCAATATTTGAATGTCTAACTGGAGACACCATAAATAGGCCTGATTTTCAGAAGATGGATGCTCAACACTTTTGAAAAGATCAGGCTTCCTTGAGGTACTGCAAGTTGGGCCCCAAAAATTGAGGCATCCAAAATCACTATTTGCTTTTAAAAAATCTTGGTCTTTGAGAACAGAGCTATTGTTCTTTCTAGCTGCTGAGATTGGGTGACTTGGAATGGCCATATGGATATTGTCTAAATAACGAGAACCAGTTTCCATGATGAAATGTCTTTTTGCTCCTTAAAGAAGTAATTTGATTCCAATTTAATGTGGAGAATTCAAGTCTCTTGGCTTTTCTTTTTCATTTTTGTTTCTAAAGTGGACAGACACCAGCAGAATCAGATTTCCAACTACTAGAGATTGCTCGTCGGTTGGAGATGTATGGAATCCGGTTGCATCCAGCAAAGGACAGGGAAGGGACGAAGATCAACCTGGCAGTTGCCAACACAGGCATTCTAGTTTTTCAGGTTAGAGCTGCTCTGATCATGGCTTTAATCTTTAAAACAGACTGTTCTTTTAACAAAAGCAATTATTATACCAGTGGTGCATCCTCTGTGTGAAATGTGTCTAGAGGAGTTTAGTTTACAGCCACACTCAGGGGAGATTAAGGCTAGCAGGCACCCAGAGCCACCAAAAGTTCAGGATGCTCCCAGAGTCACTTGCAATGTTGGCCTTAGACCTATGTAACTACAGAAGGTCCCACACTTCCAGGGTCCCTTTACTACCTGCACACACCTAACCTAGCAGCTAGATCTCCACCCCGTTTCCAGCCCATCGCCCTGTCTGTTTCCAGCACCAGCTATTGAAGAGACTGACTTCCCTAACTACCCTCCTTTGATCCAGAAAGCTACATGTTGGCTACAACTCCTCACTACCCTGATGCATGTTGGAGGTGGGTCACCTGAGGCCACAGGGCATCATAAATAAGGTTAAGATTTGGTTATGGGCATTTTTAGTAAAAGTCTTGGCCAGGTCACGGGCAATAAACAAAAATTCATGGCCCATGACCTGTCCATGACTTTTACTATAAATGCCCCTGACTAAATCTTAGCTTCCCTGGGGGGCTGACAGCTGGCCCCAGCTCCGGCAGTGGATGCTGCCAAGCAGCGGCTGGTGCAGCTGTCCCCGGGGCCACCCCCGCAGCGGCCAGTGTGGCCGGCCCCAGAAGCAGCTGTTGTGGTGGCCCTGGGGTCAGTCACACCTGCAGCTCAAGTTGCAGACGTCCCGGAGGTCCCAGAAAGTCATGGAATCCATGACTTCTGTGACAGACTCACAGCCTTAATCATAAACAGGGAAGGAGGGTCTCAGGCAGGCATGAAGTAGCAGGTATTGGGAGTAGTGAGTATGTGGAGGTGGGGAAGTGGGAGTTAGGAGGTGTGGGGAGGGGGTCAGGAAGAGGTGGGAGAGAACTAGATGGGAGCTCTCCAGAGTTCCTTGTATGGGCTTTGCAAAATCTAGGGCAATCCCTAGTTGCTTCTCCCAGCCAGGGCCTTGCAGCAATCTCTTCATTCTACCTTGGCCCAGTCCAGCAAGCCTCTTCCTCCTGTGTCCTTCCCCCCACAGCTTCATAGGCCTACGTGACAAGCTGAGGGTTGTCAAAAATTGAGGGTTAAAAAATTGAGTAAAATATGTTTTAAAACTTGGGTTACTGCAATTATTAAAATAACTATTCCCTTTAAAACCAAAACAAAAACCTCAATTTTTGAAAAAAACTCAAGTTTCAAACCTTTTTTTCAAAATAAAAATATCCATCTTTTAGACCTTTTAAAAAAAAAAAAGAATCTCTGAACCAGCAGTTCCAATGGGGCTACTTTAATAAAAAACAAATCCCACCAAAAAACCGCACAAGTGTCCAAATAGAAAATATCAGTAAACTCACAACTTGATCACTTGATCAACAATTGAAGGAATGCCTAAGAACAGTGGCTCTCAATCTTTCCAGACTACTGTACCTCTTTCAGGAGTCTCAGTTGTCTTGCATACCCCCAAGTTCCACCTCACTTAAAACTACTTGCTTACAAAATCAGACATAAAAATACAGAAGTGTCACAGCCCACTATTACTGGAAAATTTCTTACTTTCTCATTTTTACCATATAATTATAAATCAATTGAAATATAAATATTGTACTTACATAGCAGGGTATAGTATTTAAAACAGTGTAAACAAGACGTTGTCTATATGAAATTTTTAGTTTGTACTGACTTCACTAGTGCTTTTTACGTATCCTATAAAACTAGGCAAATATCTAGATGAGTTGATGTGCCCCCTGGAAGACCTCTGTGTACCCCCAGGGGTATGCATACTCCTGGTTGAGAACCACTGCCTAAGAACATTGAAAGCTGCTAAAAAAGAACATAGACTAAGTAGTTACAAGTGTGAGGAGCCACGCCCACTATATGCAAATTTTCCTTAGCCTTGTTTTAAAGCGGTCGGAACCATTACAAATTAAGGCCCTAATCCTTCATCCCAGGAAAACTTCACTCACTTCACAGGGTCTCTGCGGGTGTAGGGGTCCATCTAAGCCGATCCAGTTAAAAGTTCTGGGGGCATGGGCCTGATCCTGGAAAGACATTGAGCACAACTCCCATTGACTGTAGCACTTACTAATGATCTTGTGTATGACCTCAGTGGGACTCCTCATAATAGGAAGCACTACACTCAATATTGATACAGACTATACAGACTAACACGGCTGCTACTCTGAAACCACTCAATATTGAGCACTTGCAGGATCAATCCCTAAGGCTCTGAATCGTGCAAAACAATCTTTCTGTGCAGACTCTTACCCATTGCAGTCAACCCAGACCCATTGTAGTTCATTAGACTCCTTGGCACAAGAGTTCATGCAGGTAAGTTCCCTTTGCAGGACTGGCCCTAAATTTCTCTTTTATTGATGTTATAGGTGAGCAAAATAAACTATAATGATTTTAAAATAAAAAAGGGAAAATAAAGGTTAATTCACAAATCACATAAATGCTGACTGCAAATGTTTATTTTTACTAAAAAATTTTTAGAACCCATCTGCTGTGCTATTGAATTTCCTAGCGGAGATGATTATGACATAAATATAACTTTCTTAGACAGCAGGCTGAGCTAACAAACATCATCACGGTGTCAGTGCTTGTATATTTGTCTGATGTGGAAGCTACAAAGCAACATAGTTCTGTACATTTAGGAATCTAGTAGAAGCTGCTTTTATAACTATAAGGAACTCCTAAACAGGTTTATAAGGAATTTTTATTACTAAGTTGAAATAGTTAATACTTTAAATCTTCCTCTAATTTTAGCATACATTAATTAGAAAACAACGTTCTGCTCAAATGGTGCAATCTGATTGTGAACATACACAAAGCCTTTCGTTGCATGACTCATAACTCCTGACATATGGCTCTTGAGCACGGTTAAAAGGCATTTTTTGGCTCATCAAATAAACACTGTCAAGTAATTTATATATTTTCCTTTTACTTCTATGACTATATGTTAACGATTAATACTGCCACTGCTTACTTCTGCATTTTTTTTTCCAGAAAGAGGAGATATTTAAAGGGATGCTGATTTTACTGATCAGATAAAAATAGAGTTTGGAAGTTTCTGTAGTGTGTGAGGAATGGAGTAGTTTTTAAAATTGTCTGATAACTCACAGTAAAACATTTAATAAGATTGTACTTTAACATCATCTGGGCAGACTGGGCCGACCTGGGGACACTGATCCTCACGGGGTATGTAGGCACTACTGCAATATAAGGCACCCAATCCTGTAATCGTTTACACATGTTCTTAACTTTAAGTACTTGGGTTCAGTGGAATTACTCATGTTCTTAAATTGGGAATATGTGTTAGTGTTTATAGGATTGGAGCCTAAACAATTAGTAATAGCACCATTACAAGCAAATACATTTTAAACAGTGATTATGCAAAAGTACTTTTGATAGCTGTCAAATTTGCCTTACAGATACATGCTTGGAATACTTAAACTCGTCCTTTAATCTATAACATGACTTCACTTGGCTTGTCATCTTTAGGGTCACACCAAGATCAATGCCTTCAACTGGGCTAAGGTTCGAAAGCTGAGCTTCAAGAGGAAGCGTTTTCTTATCAAGCTACGGCCTGATGTGAATGTAAGTCCTTGATATTCTTCAAAGAAATTTGAGGAGAGGTTCTCTGGTAAATTCCTAGAAGCAGATAAAATAGATGTTTGAGTTGCCTGGGTTGTAATCAATGGGATTTTTTTTAATTGGTCATTTACACTTATTTCTGGGGCTAGTGCTTTGATAACGTTTTCTCTCGTGTCCGTCTTAAAATTGACATCCACGTTGGGCAGACTCAGCAGAGAAGCTAAGAACTGAACGTCCATGAAAGATATCAGGTATTTCCATGGCTGTGGCTCCATGTACTAAAATATTTGTCTCAATGCCATGCTGAGTACGTGAGGCTTCCTGTTAAAGCTGGTGAACTCAGTGTAGTGCACACTCTTAATAATTAACCTCAGATTGATGGGTTAGTGATATTTAACTATGGGAATATGCACCTCTGCTGTGGTGTGCAGTTGTGATCTTCAGTTTCCTAAGATGGAGTGCTTTTGCCGTGGTACTGGGAATGGTCAGCAGATCCCCATTCCCAAGCTATCATTCTGACCGATGGGACTCTTAGTTCTGAGATATAGCCTGTTGCTTGTATTGTAATAATGCACAATACAAATGTTCTGAGGCTGGTATCAAATCAAATGGAAAGATGAGACAACGGGAAAAATTCTGGGGAATTGCTCTTTGTTAGTCCTGCTAAGAGTATGTAGGAGGTTCTTGGGATGAATGGGAGGGCTCCTTGGGCCAGGAGACCGGTGAGTCAGGAGAGAGAATTTGTAGCATAGCATCAGTGTATCGATGTATATGTCCAGTGCGTTGCTCTCTCATTTGCTCACTCATGTAAATAATGCTATTATATCTTTTAGAATTCATTCCAGGACACCTTGGAATTCCTGATGGCCAGTCGGGATTTTTGCAAGTCTTTCTGGAAGATCTGTGTAGAACACCATGCCTTTTTCAGACTCTTTGAGGAGCCCAAACCAAAGCCTAAACCTGTTCTTTTTACTAGAGGTTCATCATTTAGGTTCAGGTAAGACCTATTTTCCCCTTTCTGTCTCCTGCTGTTGTTCCTCTCCCCCATTGAAATCACATTGTCCTTATTTTAATCCTAGATCTTTAATGTTTTTCTCTTGGGTGTTGCAAACTGCTGCTTTATGATTGCTAACCCACCTGTTCAACCAGAGTAATGCATGGGAAACTGGAATAAAAGCCTAATTCCCCTTACAGTAGCTGATGGAAAGTTGCTACTAAAGGGCTGAATTCCCTGTAAGCTGTGCTGCCACACGGCAGCCTATTTAGCACCGCACAAGCGCTCAGGGAGCCCACCCTGCCGCGGCCGGGAAAGGGGCACACCATAGGCGTCAACTTCCCCTCTAGCCAGGGAATGCTGGACCGGTCCCAGGCTCCGTCTCCACTCCATCCCTTCCCCGAAGTCCCCGCCTCTTCCCGCCCCCATCCTGCCTCTTCCCCGTTCCTCTCCCCCCCGCCCCCAGGAGCTTCCTACATGCCACAAAATAGCTGTTCGCGGCGTGTGGGAGGTGCTGGGAGGGAGGGGGAAGAGTAAGTCAGAGGGGCTGCGGGCAAGTGAGAAGCACTGGGGGTGGGGGAAGCTTGGCTGCTAGCACCTGCTAATTTTTCTCTGTGTGCGCTCCAGCCCTGGAGCACCCACAGAGTCAGCACCTATGAGGGCCCCCCTTCCCTGGCCCCAACTGAGCCCCAGACCTGCTGCAGCTGAGGGGGGGGTGGCCAGAACCCAGCCCGGACCTGCCACGGCTGGGGCACCCCTCCCCTCCCCTGACCCCAACTCAGCCCCAGCCCGGACCTGCCGTGGACAGGGGAACGGCACCTATCCCACGACCCCAGCCCCAGAGCTGCCACGGCGGGGAGAAGCGACTCTTCCCCCAGCCCAGTTGCTGTGTGGAGAGAGAGAGAGCTGTGGGGGAGCCCTCTCTCTCCCTGCCATAGCCCCAGAGCACCCTTCTGAACTCCTCATCCTCGGCCCCACCCCAGAGCCCGCACCCTCTGCCCCAGCCCTGAGCCCCCTCCCACACTCCAAACCTCTCAGCCCCACCCCCACCACATGAATTTTGTTATGTGCACCAATACGAAGGTGATGTGTCACAAATCACCTCCATATTGGTGCACATAATAAAATTCATTCCGCACATTTGTGGGAAAAATTAGAGCAGGGGTTCTCAAACGGGATCGGGACCTCTCAGAGGGTCGCGAGGTTATTACGTGGGGGGGGTCACGAGCTGTCAGCCTCCACCCAAAACCCCGCTTTGCCTCCAGCATTTATACTGGTGTTAAATATATTAAAAAGTTTTTTAATTTATTGGGGGGGGGGGGTCACACTCAGAGGCTTTCTATGTGAAAGGGGTCACCAGTACAAACTGGTGAATTTGAGAACCACTGAATTAGAAGGAACACTGCTAAAAGAGTATGGTGAAAAGAAGCCAGTAGTCTCCATTGCACTTGTTCCACCCCAGCCCAACCCCCACAATCCATCTATGCACCAAACAGGCCCACTAGTCCCACCTCCTGTGATTTGTCAACAGATGATCCCTTCATGCTCCTAGGGAGAGAGTTCTGCTCTGTAGATCATGAGAGGAGTAGATTTTCCTTGCCTGGCCTCCCTACAGTCTGACAAATGCACCCCTATGCTGTTTAAATCCAGTGTTTCCTCTGCATTCTGGACCCTTCATGCCTATAAGAGGGCTAACAGAGACAGGAATTCACCCTCAGACCAGGTCTACACGTAAAACTTTGCTGGTGTAGTAATTTTTTAAAAATAATTTTTATACCAGCAAACCCCTCGCATAAATGTAGCTATTCCAGTGTAAAGTTCTTTTACCAGTATAGCTTATTTCATTCAGGGAACTGGTATAAGGTATACTGGCAAAAAACTCTTTTTTGTAGGTATAAGCTGCATCTACAGTAGGAGGGTTTACTAGTATAGCTATACATCTGGCAAACCTTTTTCAGTGCCCTCGAGGCCTCGGTGTACAAAAATGCTGATATGTCACTGCTGCTTATGTACACTGCTGGATGGACTCTTTGCAGCATCTCCCATGTAATGCCGTTTGACTCCTATCGGGCCTGATTTGCCACTAACTGCATCTTGTTAGGTCATTTACACCTGTGCAAAGCGAATTCAAAATGCTACCAAATCAGAGACACCAGTTGACTCATAGAGGTATGTAGTCATGTTGATATGTCCTCTCCTGCCTCTTCCAACTTTCTTTTCTGGATCTGAAAAATAAAGTAGGTGACATGGAAGGACCTGGAGGTCTTCGTGGGGGAGACAGAAACTGCAGTCTAAATTGTTAGATTTAATTACTGCCAGAGTAAATGAAAAAATTGTAGACATTCTTAACATACTTGATTAAACATGCACATAGTTTGGAGTGGAGCCGTATGCTGTTTTCATGTCTCTCACTGTGATCTCTGCTGAGTTCATTCTAGGAGAAGTATTGATCTTCATTGTTGCAATAGGCCTTGCTATAGTTTGTCCAATTGACAGGTCTTAACAGGTATGGAGATTTTTTGTTCCTCACTGGACATTCTCCAGGGTGTAGGATATGCATTTCTAACTGAGTGCAAATGCTATTGCTTTCTTTTTCTTCTCGTATTCATATCCATACACCATATAAATGATTGGCAGTGGCTCCTTTTTCATGGAATATAAGAGCAAGGTTTGAGATCCATCTAAGGCTGAATTGGCAGAAAATGTTTATACCTATAGTTAAATGTCTTTAAGGTCAACAATTTAATCCTGAAATGTATTTCCACTATTCTCCATTCAGTACCAATGTTTATTGACACCAGTTAATAGAGATAAGACTGAAATTTAACTTGCAGAAATTATTCAGATACATATTTTCATAAGAGGAGAGTTGAAATCTCTCTTTCTTGCCTTTATCTTTAGTGACTTCCCAGTAACATGATTCAGCATAAAGGGGCACAGTTGAATTTAGACAGTGGTAAAATGGTCTGTATTTTATCTGTCTAAAAGTATTTTCCTGGCAAAAAATGCAAGTGACATTTTATCCATGTATGTACAATGAGATTTATTGCATTCTTATTGTGAAATGTGAGTTAATGCTTCTAGTAGAAATAGTTGTGTATGTGGTTTACTATGAGTTCATAGGCTGCAGTATCTAAAACTGCACACTGGCATGCCTGGCTTCTTAGGTTCACCCCCAAGGTTGGTAGGTGGGTGATTGAATGCGAATATGGACTGCATGAAGCGGCTTATCACTGACTATATGGTTAAATCAAACTCCCTGCAGACCAATGTGCATTTATGATGCAAAAGATGGTACATCACTTTATGCCATGGAAATGAAAAGTTACATAATAAATCTGCTTTCATTATTTGTATTGAACGTTAACAAATGTAATACCTTAGATTGGTGGCTTAAGTGTGGTTTTGTTACAGTGGCCGGACTCAGAAGCAGGTTCTTGACTATGTTAAAGAAGGAGGACACAAGAAAGTGCAGTTTGAAAGGTGAGAGAGAGATTACTGAGCTGGTCTTATTTTTTTAATGCTCTTGAATTTGGGACCATTAGTGCTTATCAGTTAATTATACTGCTGGGCCCTGACCCAGGCCTACGCAAAGTCCCTTTATGTTGCTTCAGCAAACCGTCACTGGCATAATGGCCCCTGGGATTGGTTACCATCAGGCATAAGTTAGAGCAACCCTGAGGTTTCTCTAAATTAAACTAGGGGCCAAACCAGCCTCCAGCCAGCCCTGTGAAACTTGATCAAATTGCTGCAGTTGCTATGAGCTTGTAACTCAATTAATAGGCTGGATACTTTTCAGCATTGAATATCCCACTGGCAGATAACTTCCCCTCAGACTCATTGAATATCAGACCCTTTAGTGTGGGATGTGATTAATCTGCATAAATAGAAAAGGATTCGATTTTTTTAATAATAACGTACTCCCGAAGATTAGGGGGATAAGTAACATAAATTGGCACAACTAACCAGTGGTTGTTAATTGAAAGCTGTCAGGGGAAGGCTTCTAACTTGGTAGTGCCAATTCTCTTTGAATTATTCTGAGTCATGGCGAGTTTAAAGTCACTGCTGAAATGTACAATGAACCTGGCAACAGTTTGTGTTATGACTCATATTCCGGCAATGGGAGATTTCTGCTTCAGTGCCCTACATTCTCTTTTATGGTGTTTATATAAAACATTCTCTATTTAAATTTTACAAAAAGAAAGAATGTGAATCCGTTTCAAGACAAACATTTATAAAGCTGCCGTTTGGTGCTTTTGTTTCTTAAGGAAGTGACTGCTGCTGATTATTTATGAAAAAAATTATATGGCTTTAACTTCTTAATGTGATTTCTCTCAGGAAACACAGCAAGATTCGTTCCATCAGGAGTCTGACTACACAACCTTCAGAACAGCATTCAGAGGTGCCAAAACAAGTCAGTAATGTTGATGAAACCCAATATGATTTGCTTTAAGCATTTCCAGTTGAATCACTATTTAGGGGAGTATAATTTAAAACTACATGGGCATTCTTTTTCTTATATCTAACCTACTTTAAAGATTCAAATACCTTGATACAGTGATTCCAAATCACTGGTAAGTCTATCCATTCTAATACTTCAGGATTTTGTAACTCGGGATCTGTAATTCCCACTCCCTATCATGGCTGGTCCATTGTGTGCGTCTACTGCCCATTTGCCATTCAGTTCTGAGCACATTAACGTACAATACAGCAAGACTAAAGGTCTACAGAGCATGGGTTTGGAGCAGCCTTATCCCCACGGTGGCTTAAAATGCACAATAAGGACGGGAAGGCGCAAGTAGTAGGGACTACCTGGCACAGTCGAGCTCTCAGCCTGGTGAACTGATACAGTTGCCAAAAAAGTGAGGAACCCTTGTCAGGTTCCGAGATTTCTGCTCGTGGTTGCCCCGAGTGAAAGAATGAGTTTTTTCCAGAGGTCAGTGATAGTGGAATTTCATTTGTCCTTGACAAGAAGTTCTGTTGTGTTGACCTGAGAGGAATTTCAGTTAAGAATTCTTACATTATTATCTTTGGTAGATCACAAGCATTAGTTCTGTTTCTATTAACTGTGAATGGCTGCTGTTCAAAGCAGAAGTGGCAGGTGCAAGTTGCCTGGTTAATATATTTAAAGTGGCCCGCAAACTTCTACCTGCACAACCTTTGGCTTGCCTTAGTAATTTGTGTTGGTTACCTATAGAATCATACCATCCTTGCAAGCTGTTCTAGTGAACTCAGGGAAGGTACAATGTGTAGTCCATTCAAAAGATAGCTTAATATTTTTAACACCAGATTAGACAGAGGGAGCAAAGCACTGGATGTGTACTGGCATGCTTGTGTGGAATGAAGACAGTCCTTTGACTAGTGGTAGGGACTCCACCGGTTGAATGTGGGGTTGCCCATGAACCTACTCTGGAAGTTTTGTTCTTGTATGCAATTGGGCTGCACTGAATTTACCATTTTTGATATTCATCTCCTTTGCCAGTCTAGCTTCTTTTAAGTAGTGCAGGCATGTTGGTGTTTGTACAATGCTGGTTATTGCCCATATGTGTTGTATCATCATAAATTGCAATAATCTATAGAACTTTTTGCACATTTATTTCCTTTTTTGCCAATGCTTAGCTCATGTTCTTTCCTGGTCCATCAGCTACTCTTCATCCTTGGAGGCTTCCATGTTTTTTAAAGTATGAGTTACCAACTCTGCTGTCAGGAGAGTCCTACATGGGATCTATAAGTTACTGGGCCATGACTCTGGTGCTCTTGCTGTTAGCAGACACTGAGATTTTTCCTTAATGATCTCCCCTCTTGTTTTTTCTCTTCTGTCTTTCTCTTTCCAGAGCTGTAGCTTTACATTTGGAGATGATGCAGATTCCCCAGTGGTGCAGAGCTGCTGGCAAGGGAAGGAACTGAAAGCTTCAACGGAAGATGTTGGACAGCGCAGGAGCCCTTCCCTGAAGAAGAGCCCTAAGGAAGGTGGAAAGGTGGATGGAGCGGTGATGGTGACAATGGAGGAAGAAGAGGAGGTCGTTAAGGATAGGACACAGAAGAATAGATCTCAGTCGCAACAACCAAGCACAGGTCCAGCATCCAGGGCTGCTCGTGGCAGCAGCACCTCAATTCCTTTTATTGACTGCAGTGATGTAGATAGCGAGTATGACCTTCTCAGAGGACAAATAACCTGGTCACATTCCCAAACAAATGACAATTATGAGGGTGATTTGACCAGTGGTGCCTATATTCTCGGTAGAGATGAAAATCGTAATAGAACTAGATATAGGGATTCCTCAGGCTCTATAAAAACTTCCCAACATGACACTGAAGAGTCTATTGATGATAACCCAGCTAATATGTCCTTTTATGTTGGTGGGAGCCCCAGAATGCCAAGGCACAGCTCACTGGTTGACGAACTGTTTAGGGGCCCTGACAGCCGTAGTCCATTGGCCACTCCACTGCCACCCAGTAGCAAAGGGTCAAGTCCTAACATGAGTTTGAATAGAACTGGCTCTCAAGGCTACGTCTCAGAAAATGGCTATGAGTGCAGGGCTAGGAGTGATGAGGAAGATATTCATGCCTGTAGCTGCCCTGGGTATGGCAAATGTTCTCCAGGTTTGCAAAGGCCTCGTTTGCAAAAAATTCAAAATGCCCGAAACAAGTCAGAAACCGACCCATTTATCCTGAGCCAGGTGTCCTCAACGCCAGGTCAGGAATACAGATCAGAGAGACACTGTAAAGGGGGGCTTGTTAAAACGGTTCCTTTAGAAGGCAAAATTATGGCAAATGGGGTGTCAGGTACTGGACAGTCAAAGCAGAGTCCAGTCATGCAGTCTTTATATGCCAGTGGCATGATGGATCACATGGCCACCATCCAAATGATGGAGGGCTCCACCAGCAGTGGAACAGAGTCTAGTGATTCAGACTCAGAAATCGTTAACCCATTTACTCACCCTCTTGTGTTTGGAAATCCCATAGTGCTGAGCTCCTCTCCTATACCTAGGAATAAGTACTCCTTTGGCAGCCTTCAGCTAGATGAAGAGGTAGAGGAAGATGTGTCTGTTGGTCTTGGTGATGAAGACAGTGTGCATGTCTTTAGCTGCTAGGAACCTGAGCCTGAGTTCCAGTTGTAGACTGAGACCATTTATACGGTGGTTACTTGTGAGAGTGATTTGGTCTTCTGGGGGCTGATGACAAGTATTTTGTACAAATACACTAAGCATGCTGTTTAGAAGGAGGGAGGAGATGCAAGAGGTGTAGTAATAAGAATAGGTTGCAATGGAAGCCTAACAACAATGTTGTATCTTCTCTGAAGGGTTGAAGGAAAAGAACCATCATTAATTTGGTTATCTTTGTGGTAGATAGAAAATATACACTTGACTGTCCCTTATATTAAGTCACATGTAGGTAGGTATGGTGGTTTCTGTGACAATTAACTGTTCATTTTGGAAAAATATAAATGAAATCGCAGTAGGCGCATTGTGCTCTTTTATTTGAGTCAAATGATTTTTTTTTTCTCTCACATAAGGAGAGCTGCTCTTCAGTGCCTCGTAGGGTTAGGGATGACGTTTAATTTACAGTCAAATGCAGGAAACTTGATATTCAGAATCAAGTCTTAGTGAAACCTTGAACAAGATTAATTAATTCTTTTTATAGCAAGAATTACTTTGTTTTGCTGATCTTCTAACACATTTGAATTGCTGAGGTAAGGGTACAAATTATCCATGTACAGGAACTGTTGCAGTCTTTTTTTTTTTTTTTTTTTTTTTTTTAGTGGATTATACAATTTGTCATATCTGGAGACAAAGACTCTAGAATTCCTTCTCCTCCTCCTTTTTTTCTGTGAGCAGGAAACAAACGTTCATCTGAGCAGGATCTAGTTATTTTGTGGTAGTTTAATTATTTGTAGTACCGCCAATGTATGGTAATGCCTCTTATCAAATTTTTATTGTGTGTTAGGGATCAAGAAATTTTATCTTCATGGAGCCAGCTCCCCACCAGACTGACTGCCTTCAAATGTGTTGTACTGTACATAGAATAGCAGCATTTGTTGTGTGCTACAGAGAGAGGATAAGTCTGTGAAAACTTTCATTTCACAGATTAAAACATTAGCCTTACTTTTATCATTAAATGTTCTTGGGGGGGGGGGAAGGAATACATAAATTTAGTTTGGCAGAACTGAATAATGAACAGAAGTTTCAGCTGAACTGTGTGAGTCACAAACATTTATGTACCCCCGTGATTAGTGATAAGACAAGATTTTTTTAATCTAGGCAGTTAATTTCAGAATCTTGTTAGTTAATTTTTATAAAACAAGGAAAATAGGAAAAGTTTTTATAATTTTTCTAATGCCTTGATCAAAACACATTGTAACAAGTGGTTAATATGAGTGAAGGATATTTTAATATCAATTTACAATAGTTTAGAAACTTATTTCACCTTTTATTTCAGTAGACTGTAGCCTTGTAAATAAGGAGTTTTAATCTTTCCAGATTCCTTAGTTTATTGGTTCCTCTTTTAGTAATAGATACCTTGGCTTTAGACATAAATGAAGTTGAAGCATTTCTTTAGACAGTGATGTTATAATGGCAAGTGGCATGGAGTGATGATTCCTGTGGCTGTGTGGTTAAAGATATGAATCTAGAAACTGCAGACTGATTATACTGAGGGAAAAGCTTGCTTGTATATCATTCTTAAAGAAAGTTGTCTCTATTTTGGACTTAGAATAGCTGTAAATTGACTGCCTTCAACTTTTGTGTATTTAAGATGTAATGTAGGTAAATGAAGTCCATTGTAGAAAATTGTCAGTGTGGATAGTGTGTGCATATGAATCTTTTGTTGGCATTTGTACTGTTTTCTACTATACAGTAGAGTAATAGCAAATTGGACATGCATTAGTTGCTTTGATAGCCATATATCTAAAGATCAAGCAATGAACTCCCAAGATGGAGTTGCAATCAGTTTCCATATTTATAAAAAGTTACTAGATTTCATGTTTGGAAGTAAGCAAAAATCAGATCTTACAGGTAATGTTGACTACACATACGCTATTTTCTGTCCTCAAACAAATACTACTTTAATGGCCATTTTTACTATCTTGACATTTCTACAAAGAAAATGGATATGGAGATAGGTCATAGCTAATGAAATGTATCTGCATTTTTTCTTCACCTTTTCCTTTTCATATTGTTCCAAGCAACATGGAGTACAAAATTTCTCTTCAACAGTTTCCTTTTATCTGACAGTACTATGTATTTAGGTTTTTTTTTAAATGTACACTAAGAATTACTTCAGTTTGCAGAAATAGCTTTAATTAATTCCATAGGCAATCGTTTAATTTAAAATGAATCACTCTGCGGTAGTCATCTATATGCCACTGAAATGCAGTTTAATAACATTAGACAAGCATTTAATTAAAAATTGTGTATGGGCCAAATTTTTCCCTCAAACACGCAGCTTATATCTGGGGATTTGCCAGGAATTTAAACAGAGCTGTGTCCAAGTGAATATTATCATATAAAACCAGGTCCATCTAAATTTAGCTGTCGATGGTTTCTGTGGAACCAATGAAAAGGGACCCTGGGGGAAAAGAATAGTAGGTTGGGAGAGGGAAAGAGGCTGAAGATTGCAAGTAAACTGGTATAAACTCTTGTTCTTCTCCCAAAATGCAAAAGTTAAGAAACAAAATGGTCAATATCAACCATGTGAGATGCTGATTAATCTGCAAGTCAGCTATGGGCTCTGTGAGTATACCTCTGACCTAATGCCATTGTACGTGTTGCTTGTAGTCACAATAAATGGTTTAATACTTCACACCTTTTTCAGTGGGTTCTGGGATGTCACCCATCTAAATTACTCATGATACCATAATACTTAAAGTTCACACTTCTGTACCTTTCATCTTTATTCACAATAATTAATTAAGCCTTGGGACACCCCCGTGAATATTAGATGGGGAAACTGAAGCACAGAGAGACTTTAGTGATTTACCCAGTGAGTCATTGTGAATAGAGGGACTCAGAGACAGTGGTAGAGTTGGGAATAGAATGGAGTTCTGTCTACTAGTCTATTGCTCTAAGGACTTGACCATACATAGCTATCCACTAACTATTTATTGGAAAAGCTTTCTCCATTTCTCCTATATGTTGGATACTGTTGGGGATACTTTTTACTTAGTTTCTTTGAAATCAGCATTTAGTAAAACTTAGTTTACCTGGAAGACCTGGGTATCATTGAATAAGTTTGGCTAATTTCATTGTAACAAATTGACATAGGAGCCCTGACTTTGCCTAGGATAACATTGAGCTTTGGATAACTGGAGGGACCATGAGACTGTCTTCACAGGAGTTGGCAGTGCTATTTCCAGCTTGGGTACACATACTCACAGTAGCTGTGATGGCACTTGGGCTAAAAACAGCATTGTAGTTACAACGGTGCATGCAGTGGGATGAACTAGCCACCTGCATGAACGCATCTCAGACCCTAGGTATGGGGCAGCTAGTCCATCTCCTCATCCCTGTAGTCATGGTTACACTGCTATTTTTAGCACACTAACTGGATCAGAGCTTGCACTGGTATATCTCCTCAAGGTGAATTGCACCTCCAGCTCCAGTGTAGACATACCCTGAGAGCTGGATAGTCAGGCTGCACTGTATTTGATTTAAACTGGTCCACATTCTTTACCTAATAAATACGTTTTCCTCATAAACCACAGAATGGTCCATTTTCTCAGGATGATCTCTTGAAATGAAATAGTACTATCCAGTTTCATCCCCTTGTCAACAGATATGGCTATTTCTGCTGCATCTCATCCATTGTATTGTTCATACCTGCCTAAAGCTTATTGTCGCATTCAAGATTATGATGTACATCAAATATAAATTGCAAAGGAAATTAATCAAATCCCTAATTGTACTTCATACATATGAGAAGTGTCAACATACAACTGACTAAAACGATTTCTGTTTGCCTTCGTTTTGTGCTTACTTTATGTGAGCTGGAATCAAATGGAAAATTGACTCACGATAACCATTATGAGAAGTAACATTTCCATAACTCAGGAAATTCAGCCAAACTTATGAAGTTTC